CATTGCCTTTTTCATGCTTTTATTTAACACATGCTTCAATTCTTTTTGGAAGTCAGCTGAGATACCACTGAACCAAGACTTTTGCAATTTTTGCTAGCTATCTGTCCTCAATTTTGTTCTTTTATTCAAGAGTCTTTGGAATAGCAACAAATCAAGAGTGGCAAGTATGGCACTGTCTTTCTATATGATAAGCTGTCAAACTATGTTCATAAGGCTCTCCCTACCTCCTATCTCCCACTCTCCCTTTTACCTTTACTCTCTATATGTTCATCTAATGGATTCCAGGAGGTAACAAGTATTTAAGTTTCATAAACACCTATAATAAGCATTCTCACTAACTTTTTCAGAGTAACAGGCCCTATGGAGGCTACCCACTTTTAAAATTTTGGTTTATTTAATTAGTAAAAAAAATCTATTATCTTTAGTTTGTCTTACATTTTTCTATAAATTTTATATAAATTTCTTTTTAACATAAAGAGGATGTTTAAATGTTGAGATAAAAGTGATCAATAAATAAAATATTATTAACAATAATTAACATCATTATTAACAAGAAAACTAACCTAATTTTTCTGGGTTATATGTGCTACTTAAACTATCATATATTGATAAGTTAAATTATTAACTTTCAATTTTGAAAGCTAATAATATATACATTTAGATTTTTAAAAGACAAGTAAATATTGGACTTAAGATTTAGAAATGCAGACTAATATTGAAACCTTATTCAATGTCATTTGAATGTTCTTACTTTGACAATAACAAGAGTTGAAGACAGTGGCAGGCTATGTTTGAATTTTGTGATTTTTTTTTTGCCTTTTGAACTTCAAGTGAGACCTTCAGGTTATCTAATCAAAGGACTTTCTTTTATTAAAGATTTATTAGTGTTTTTCATTTGAAAATATTCAAATCAATAAAATCAGCATTTTTTATTAATCAAAACTTACCCAAAAAATCTATGGCATACTGTATGTACCATATTTTTTATTTTCTTATTACAGTATATACTATAAATACTTTATTTTTTTTACTCTATCTTAAGAAATACATAGTCATCTAAAATATGCTACCCCCTCAAAAATACCCAAATTTTTAAGAATATTGGGGCCCTGGTTATAAAACTATTTGGAAATTTTTCTTTTCAAATTGTTAAGAGTAATATAAATAATACTTCCACAGTTTTTCAAATGAAAATATAACTGATTAGTCCCAGTCCTACTTTTTAAAAATACTATACAAAATAGCAGGCTATGACCCAGTGTTCATAATCAGGCAAACTAAAGGGGGCAAAATTCCATGAAGTGAAATTATGAATTTTCATTAGTTTAGAGACTCTCAAAGTGTGACACATGAGCCTTTGAGGGGTATTGACACCTTCAAAGAGTTCTTGAGGACAAAACTATTTAATAATAACTAAGACATTATTTGACCAAAAAAATACTCTTTCCTCTTCCAAATACACACATGTGTGACATTGAATTCTTATTATATACTGCAATCAAAATTACATGTCATAACAAATTGAATGAAGGAGCAAACATGAGAATATGTCTTCCATTAATCCAAACATTAAAGATATTTATAAAAATAGGCTAAATATGTGACTCTTGTCATGCATATTTGGTTTGGAAATATAGTTAGTTATTCATTAAATTTTATGCTATTTTAACAAATGATGGGTGTGTTATTATTTTTAAATTAAGATTTCAAAAATAAGTATTAGTTTAAATTCCTCTTATGGTATTATTGACAGATATATCCTACATAAACAAACGCCAGTTTTGAGGACCTCAATAATTTTTGAGAGTGAAAGGGGATTCTAAGACCAAAAAGTTTAAGAATCGCTGCTCTGTCAATTTTTTTCTAAAAGTATTTGTGTCAAGAATAATATTTTGGTATATCTAAGTTTTGTTGTTGTACTTACACTCTATGCCTATTTATATGTGTGACGCACATGCACGCGCACACACACACACACACACATCCAGATGTGTCCAGTAACCCCATCTGGAATCACAAGAGTATTTGTCATGGAAAATATTGCAACATATTTAAAATTTTAAGGAATTTAAGGAATTACTTACAGGAAGCACAATTTTAGACAACAATAAATTCCACGTCCAAGAGTATTTCCCCATTTGAGGTAATTCAAGGTTTGTGGAATGTTTTAGTTATATTATTGCTCCATAGAGCTTGAAATGATTGGGTTACATTGAGCACTCCCCTTAACATTTTAGACATAATAGTAGATTACTTTTGGTAAAGTCAGATCTACCCTTCTATGCCAACTAGGATTTTCTCTCCACTGTTCCATGTGTGACCAACACACAGAGGGTAAGTGAATGGAGAATATTATTGGTGTACATTTGCCTTAATGTAAAATAAGATTGCTTATATTTCAAATGTCATTTATATTGCTGAAGCTTCAGTCATTTTGTTTGTTGGTATTTAATTCATAAGATTGCCTTAGATTTAATGAATATCTTTGTTTCAAAAAATGTTTAGTTACTTCACATATTATAATATATTCACCAAATATTTGACCATGTGTGAAAATTGGAAAGCTGGTTGATTTCCCTTGAATTGTGAGCTACCTAGTTCTATTAACCTTGTTTTGGGCAAATTACGGAGGGTGTAATCCAAAATTCTCAAAACAATTACATACAAAACTCTGACTTTTCAAAGAGAATCACAGATTGCAAACAGAATTTTTAAGTGGATTTACACTATTTCATAGAAAAAGTTTCCTGCTGAATGCAAATCTAATTCTACTTGCAAGTACAAATAGAGTTTTCACAAGGATTCATATTATTTCAGATGATATTAATCCATTTGGAAGGAAAAGATCTTTGGTAATGTGACTCATGGCATGTTTGAATGCTACTACTTTACTCTATTTAACATTGTTCTATGATTCATTTCTAGATATTTAAAGATATCCACAACTTTTCCATGTTCTGCAACTAGAATATAAAATAAATTATGCATAAAATATGTAATGCAATCATATTATTCAGAGATATTTTTGTGAATAGACTACATTCATTTGGTAACAAAAATAGACTATAAATGAAATGAATAGTATCCTAGCTAATATAAACAACTACAAGTTGTATATTTTAGCATAATTCTTTTGAAAGAATTATTATCTATGATATTTTGCTTAAGGAAATTAAGACTTGAGGGAAATACAGTTATGATTATAATTTATACTATAATTCAATCAGCCTTTTAAGTGGGGTATTCATTATCAAATTATAACTATATATAAAGATATATGCATGCATATATAATAACTTGAGAGTATAAAAATCTGGTAAATTATTTTCTTCTTCAATGGACTTGGGCAAACTTTTTTAAGTATATAGGTATAATCATTTATCTAAAGTTCATCTAAAGTGTATGTCATTCATATGTTCAAATGCTTGTCTGATAATATCTTAGCATAGTTTTATACATTGTATTGTGAGACTACATGAGCAGTAAGGAGGAAGAATTCAGAGAACTCAATGAATGGGGTGAATTAAGGGAGCATTAGGGGGAAAGGATTCTAGGAAAAGTATAGACTAGTGGAATTCTTGTATTTCTCTATTGATAGAATATAGTACAAATAGTTCCAAACAGTTAGAATTTTTAACTATCAGATTTTATGTACGTGTGTATTATGAGAAAAAACCAATAGTTTTCAATAATAGTATTTACAAATTTAACACAGAAAATGTACTTAGGTGAATTTAGTAATACTTTTAGAAGTTAAATACTTTAACATTAGTCTAAAATGCCCTGAAAATGTGGAATGCCTAAATGACTATTCAGTGAGGGTTGTTTTCCTCATTTATGATGTAACAATAGTAATTTGAGGAAATCAGCAGTATATTACTTAAATTATTATCCTTACAACTGAGTTTAAAGTTCTTAGATATTGTGTTTATCCTCTATTCAATTATGAAAAAAATTCACACCAAATGATATAATAATGAATTATCAATTTGAATGATAACAATGGTAGGAGGGAAGAATGAAAGAAAGCCAATTGTATATGTCTCAGTGCTATCGTTGTTAGTGATATCATAGAGAACATAGTAAGATTTTTAAAGTAAGGCAACAATTTTTTTACATTATTCAATTATTGAAACTTTTAGTTTATGATTTAAACACCTGAAATACACACTATGAAACCACTGAAAAAAAGATAAGTATAAAATGTCATGATTACTTTTAGAAAGTTAAAAAAAAACTTGTATAGGAGTGTTTATATTTATTACATTTTAAATTTATCCTTTCCTTTTATGCCAAAGTAGTATTTCTTGTCTTATTGTTTCAATATCCTTATTGAATAACAAGTCAGTTGAGTTGGGGTTGAATTTTGTGCTCACGGGGAACTAGAAATATATATATATATATATATATGTATATATATATATAAATAGCTGAAGGCTAAGGTATGTTTCTGGTGTGCTCTGTGTGTGTGTGTGTGTGTGTGTGTGTGTGTGTGTGTGTGTGTGTGTTGTGGGGGGAAGGTATATGAGAGATCTAGTTGATTCCTAAGTATCCTCAAATAGCCTTATTTACTGGTTCATAATTAGGAATTTCTAATTGTTGAGTATTTTATAGAGGGGATTCCTTTGGTGTATGAGTTGGAATAGATGGTTGCTAAAGTCCCTTCTGACTCTCAAATTATATAATTCTGTGGCTCAACAGAAATTCTTAGAAATGGAGAAAATATTCTTAATGAATATGGATAGCTAAGAGATTCTAATTAAAGGCCTTAAAGTCTCCTAGCAAAAATATAGCTTACAGACATAATCAGCATACTACCTGCCTACAGAGGCAGCATAGTGCTCTTTGATCAAGGATAAGGGAGCCCTATGGATTCATCCTTTAAACATCATGAAGTACAAAGCAAAAGCAAAAGTAAAATCCATTGTGACTTTTGACAATCATTAGTGAGAAAAAGGAAATAACAATTGCCAAAAACATCACAAAAGGGAGCATGTTACCTGGCTATGACAAAGAGCACACAACTGACACCCAAGTAAGCCAGCAGAATATACATCCAGATATCAGGGGAGAGAGGATTCAGGAAGGAGAAGACGCCTGGGTTTGTACCGTTGGGTTTGCGGTACAAAATACTTATTCCAAGAGTCATAAAGGGCTTGGAAAAGTCGATGACCTTCTCTCGAACGTAGGTAATAGCCAGTGGGGCAACTGCAAGGTCAGCTTTCTGTTGGCAGAAATATAAAGAGAAGAAAAGTAGACTATAAGTCAACAGGAAGAAGGCAATCAAATCAGACAAAACAAAGACTTTATATTAAGGTGGTTTGCCACTGTACTGACTAAGCTAAGCTTAATGCACTCTTTTTTTTTTCTGAAATAAAATGCCCAATTTATTCTGCTAGCTATTTCTTATAGGTTTTTAAATTAACAAAAAAACACATTTTTTTAAATTTCAGGAATTAAAAAAAATGACAAAAGTCATTAAACATTTCTCAGAATTTGTCCTATCAAAAAAAAATTACAAATTTCTACTGTACAAGTTCATTTGGTATCAGTTACTATTTTATCAACACAGTAACTCAAACTTTAAAACATTTGTCTGATTACTTAACCTTTCCAATGAGAACCAATTGCAGTTTTAAAACCATAAAGAAGGGGCAGCTAGGTGGCGCAGTGGATAGAGTACTGGCATTGAAGTCAGGAGGACCGGAGTTCAAATCTGGCCTCAGACCAAACACTTGACACGTTCTAGCTGTGTGACCTTGGGCAAGTCACTTAACCCCAATTGCCTCACCCCCCCCCAAAAAAAAACCATAAAGATTGTCTCACTGGGTTCAATCATTTATACTAAAGGATGGTAATCATAACCTTTTAATCTTTCCTATGTTTTTCATTCATTACAATTTCTGCTTTTATTTCTTGAATTTTTGTAATATTTTATATCAAAAAGTTCAATGTAATTATTAAATTATTTATTCATATTTTAAGTGTTGCTAATTCTTTATTGTTTCTTAAAAAATACTAAACCAATCACCTCTAGAGACCACAGATTTAGAGATGCAGGCATCTCTGAGGTCATTTAGTACAATCCTTCTCATTTTAGAGATAAACATACTCAGGGAGGTTAAGTGACTTGTTCAAGGTCATGTAGGTAGTAAGCATTAGAGAGATTTGAAATCAGGCCCTTTGACTTCAGAATCATTGCTCTTTGAATTTTCATATGAGAAGCCTAGAGCTAAGAGAAATTCATTCACTTATCCATGGTCTAAGAAGTAGCAGAGGTGAAATTCAAAGCCAAGTCTCTCTCAAATCTCAAGTCCATGACTCTTTGTATTATACCATACTGCCTTTTAACTAGTGACTGAGAAAATGCAGTTTAATATTTCTAAAAGTTTTAAATGGGAGCACTTACTATGCAAGTAAGTTTAATGTCACCTTTGATAGCTTTCTTTCCATTTTGTTAAAAATGTTCATTGTTGAGGATAATTATGACAATAAATGGCCCTTGGTGACTTCTGTTAACTTATTAAACAGTGGTAATATAGGTGAATAATATTGTGTAATGTCCAAATAGTCTATCTTGGCCTCATCTACTTTTTCCAAATTCACATGTGCTGCCTCCCTTTGCATATGTTTTCCCAGAGAACACTACCTCATACTCCTAAGCTCATTTCATCAGTGGATCATAGATCTAGAACCAGAAGAGACCTTAGAAACCAGCTACCCTCAAACTCCTCACTTTAAACAGAAGGAGAACAAGACAAAAGGAGGTTAAGTGACTTGTCTGATAGAATTTGAACTCAGTTTCTCTGCCTCAATAACTGTGCTTTTCAATTAATAAATAAAATACAATCACAATTCTAATAGGCAAAATGAAAGGCCCAACTTAATATTATCTATGAAGGAAATATTCAATAATCAACGGACATAATTTTCTGAAAGCAAAGTGCAAATTCAAATTGAGAAAAACACTGTCAAGTACTTTTTGGGCATAATATGGTAAATTAAGAGGAAAACAGCTAAATAAAAATGGATAAAATAAGAAATTAGCACATCTAGGGACATTAATGTATTCAATAAACAAGTTTTTATCATATCCTCAAATGCTGAAGTTTATAAATGAGGAAGACATTATATAGTTTAAGGAAATAAGAAAAAAATAAAATCTCTCTTTTTTACCTTACATTTTCACAATTAGCAGGAGTACATTTTAAAAAAAAGTGTCAAGGACTAGGACCAATTTATTGCACAAAAGTCATAAAAACTATACCCCAGGCCAGTCCTGAAATGGAGATGAATTTTTATTTATTCAATCCACAGAAACATTTTCTATGAATACATTTGGACTTCATTATAGAATCTCATTATAATGCAATCTCCTGAAATGTAATAGAAATTTTACTATTTAAAAGGTGTTTGCAATGATGGTTGTACTAACTTGCCATTATGTTATCTTGTTATCAAAAGCCCTCCAATTGAGGGGCCAGGGGTGTAGGGCTGGCAGGAGGTAGTCTGCAGTAGATTGATGGTTCACAGGTATAATTAAGAAATCTTTGTAGATTTTAACTCAAATTTGGCTTTATCTAACAAATAAAAATGAGTTCTGCCGATTATATTCTGGTCACTAAGAATATCACAAAACTGGTGATATGACCATAAGAAGTAATGAATCAAGGTTTTGTAGCTAAAACAAGAAGTGAAATACATTTCTAATTCAATTCAATTCAATTGAACAAACATTTATTAAGTACCTACTATAAGCAAAGCATTAATCTAAGTAGGAGAGATACAAAGACAAAAATAAACAATTCCCTGCCATCAAAGGAAAGAGTGGAAAAGATGTATTAGATTGACTACCAAAATGAAGGTCTATAGAGCTGTTGTGCTAACCTTGTTGTTGCATGCCTGTGAAACCTGGATAGTATATCAGCATCCTGCTAGGAAATGGAATCTCTTCCATTTGAATTGTCTTAGGAAGATTCTGAAGATCACCTGGCAGGATAAGATACCAAATGCTAAGGTCCTTTTTTGAACTAAACTGCCAAGCATTCAAACTCTAATACAGAGAGTGCAATTACGATGGGCTGGCTACATTGTTTGAATGCCAAATGTATGCTTGCTTAAAAGACTATTTTATGGAGAACTCACACAGGGCAAGCTCTCACATGGTGGTCAGAAGAAGTGATACAAGAATACTCTCAAGCTCTCTTTTAAGAACTCTGGAATTGATTGTGTGACATAGAAGACACTGGCACAGGACCATCCAGCATGGTGTGCCCTCAAGAGAGCAAAGCAGAATTGAAGTAGCTCAAAAGAAACACAAGATACATAAATTTAGAGAATCCACTCCAAATATTCACAAGGACTATTTGTGCCCAACCAATGGCAGAGTATTCCAAGTTCATATTGGTCTGGTCAGCCACAGTCAGACGCGTTCTAACTTGACTCTAACATAGTGATGTTATTTTGGTTTCTTTTGAGTATGAAGGACAACAACAAAAATGTGTGTGTGTGTGTGTGTGTGTGTGTGTGTGTGTAATTTTTTCCTTTTTGAACCAATTTAGATGTGAGGGCCAAGTATTGCCTGCCTTATCCCCACCATTTCCCCCCTCCACTGTAATAACTCTTCCTTTTCTGCTTCTTTTGTTTGAGATACTTTCCCTCTTTCTTCCTCTCCCTTCTCCCCTTTCTCAGGGCATCCCTTTTTCTTGACTACTTATTTTTTTTTACATCATCCCAACATAATCACTCACTCTCCCACCTTCTTTGTATATAGAATCTTTCTAACTGACCTAATAATGAAAATCTTAGAAGATATGTGTATCATCTTTCCATATAGAAGGGTAAAAGTTTAACTTTAATGAGTCCCTTATGATTTTTCTTTCATGTTTATTTTTTTATATTTCTCTTGAGTCTTGTATTTTAAAGTCAAATTTTCTTTTTTAAATTAATTTATTTTTATTTATCAACAATCACTTCCATATGCTTTTTAAAATTAATTTATTTTGATTTATCAACAATCACTTCCACATGTTTTTGAATTTAAAATTTTTCTCCCCCTTCCTCCCCACCACCCTCCCCAAGACGCTGCACAATCTGTTATAGGCTATACATATACATTTCTATTGAACATATTTTCACATTAGTCGTGTTGTAAGTAAGAATTAGAGCCAATAGGAAGAACCACCAGAAAGAAGAAACAAAACTCAACAGAAGAAAAAAACATAGCAAATAGTATGCTTTGAACTGCATTCAAACTCCATAGTTCTTTCTTTGGATGTGGATAGCATTTTCCATCATGAGGCCTTTGGAGATGTCTTAGATCCTTGTATTGCTGGGAAGGGTTAAGTTTATCAATGTTAGTCATTGCACAATGTGGCTGTTATTGTGTACAACGTTCTCTTGGTTCCACTCACTTCACTCAGCATCAGACCATACAAGTCTCTCCAGGTTTTTCTGAAGTCAGCATGTTCATCATTTCTTATAGCACAATAGTATTCTATCACATTCATATACCACAATTTGTTCAGCAATTCCCCAATTGATGGGCATCCTCTCAATTTCCAATTCTTTGCCACCACAAAAAGAGCTGTTATAAATATTTTTGTACACGTGGATCCTTTTCCATTTGTATGATCCCTTTGGGATATAGCCCTAGAAGTGCTATTGCTGGGTCAAAGGGTATGCACATTTTTATAGCCCTTTGGGCATCGTTCCAAATTGCTCTCCAAAATAGTTGGATCATTTCACAACTCCACCAACAATACATTAGTGTTCCAATTTTCCCACATCTTCTCCAACATTTATCATTTTCTTGTTTTGCCATCTTGGCCAATCTGATAGGTGTGATGTGGTACCTCAGAGTTGTTTTAATTTGCATTCTTCTAATCAATAGTGATTTAGAGCATTTTTTCATTTGACTATAGATGGTTTTAATTTCTTCATCTGAGAACTGCCTGTTCATATCCTTTGATCATTTTTCAATTGGGGAATGACTTGTATTCTTATAAATTTGACTTAATTATCTATATATTTTAGAAATGAGGCCCTTATCAGAGAGACAGGTTGTAAAAATTCCCAATTTTCTACCTTCCTTCTAATCTTAGTTGCATTGGTTTTGTTTGTGCCAAAACTTTTCAATTTAATGTAATCAAACTTATCCATTTTGCTTTTTATAATGTTCTCTATCTCCTGTTTGGTCATGAATTCTCCTGTTCTCCTTAAATC